AAAAATATAACTGATTGGGTTATTCTATTGGTACTTCTTCCTGGACTTGGTAATCCATGGACTTCTGCATAATTTTCTAGAAAATTCTTTACTACTTCAGCAACACTTTTGTCAATCACCATTTTAGCTTTCCATTGAGGCATTCTTTTTATGTTACCATGAATTCTTGGTAAAAGACCATTGTTTATTAGATGATTTCTAATATTTTCAAAGTAAGTTCTACCAATCCCTAGCATATTGAGATAAGTTTCTTGACAAAGAAGTGTATTGTGATCTCAGTGATAGAAAGTTCTTTTATTAGATCTGGTTTTCTTTTTAAGGTGTCTGCTAGTGCTTGTTGATCCACCATCCATTGGCTTAAGTTGGGCCATTAAAAATATGTCTTGTTCTGGTTTAGAAAGAGCTTGAAAAGATTCCCTTAATTCTGCAAATTCTTCCTTGGGAATTCTTGAAGAACAACCACAATCACAGCCTTTTTCTAAAAAATCAATTGCTTTTTGATATTCATTAGAACCATTATATTTATTATTACTTTTCATATACACCTATCCCTATATATATAATTTTATGTTCACTTTGTAGGTTTTTTATGAATAAGTAAATAGTTACCTTCAAAAATTTATATCTCTATTTTGTTATCTAATGATTTTTTTAACATAAAGGCTATTTTGAGTATGGGTTAACAGAATTTGGATATACAGAAACTTTATCTATTTTTGTTATAATAGGGAATATGGCAATTAACATAAATAAATTCTATTACATTTATTTATTTTCAATTAAAAATAATTTCTTCAATGCAAATGTAAAAATACATAATAAAAATTTTTTAATCATTGAGGAGTAATAAAGCCTTCATCTAATAAATGTATGTCATGTGATTTTCTAATTAAATTTCCAGGTTTCACTTCATTGTGCCATTTGATCTTTGGATTCATGGTCACATACGGATATCTAATTTTTCCTTCTGGACCTGCCCATTCAAAATCTATAATTTTTATAACCCATCTATCCTCTACTTTTTTAGCAAGTATATTATTTAGTCGAAAATCTCCATGAACAAAGTTTTTGTCATGTAATATTCCTACAGCAAGTTTTATAGAATTTTTTATCTCCTTCAAATCTTCTTTTTTTACTTTCGAAAACAATGAATTTATAGTCTCATATCCATCAAGATATTGCATTACAATAAATTTATACCCAGAATTTATGTCTGAATAATGAATGATTTTTGGTGCTATTTGATGTTCAGCACAGAAACTGTGTGCATCATAACCATAAGTTTCAGAAAACTTGACTATGTGTTTTGTATCATCATTCTCTTCTACAAGATACACCAGACTTTGTAAAATGTCAACACAACATTTTTTGTATTGAAAAGATACCACTAAAGAATCCTTTGTGTATGACCTTATCCATGGAAACCTTCCCACGTTTCTATCAATCTTTTTTTCTGGAACTAATAAACATTCACTATAGTATTTTTCCAAAGTTTTAATCGCCTCATGTAAAGAACAAAATATTCTTGTCAGTCGATTTATCCATGATTCAAAAAAATCAGGTCTGACTACAAGATTTTCTGCTATTAAAGGACATATTGTAACCCTTTCCCCAAATACAGCACCTGCAATCTCAAATCGTGCACCATGCAAACAAACTAGAAAACATGGAATACAAGTATTCAGGATAAGATCTTCATCATCTTCGGCATGTTGAACCACATATTCTTGGTAGTATGTGCTGATTTGCACATATGGATCTACCTTTGATGATTCATTTTTGTATTCGAATCCTACTAACAAGGCATCCTTTTCTGATTTTGAATATTCTAACTTTACTAATGCATCAAATCTAACTTCTTCATTACAATTCCTCTTCTTCCTATCTTTTCCATCTATATTATACCCCAAAAAACTGTTAAGTTTATTTTCAAATTCTTTTTCCCTGTCATTTTCTGAATCATAAGTATCTCCCATTGCACATGCTAACTTGAAAATTTTTTCTTTTCTTTCATCATCAAATGATGTTGATTCACAATCAAGCATGAACTTTTCAAAAACAGGGTGACATAGTGTCAATGGAATATCAAATTTTCCAGTTGGACGGCAAATATAAAAAGGAGGATCATCATCACTCAACAAGGATTCCCATTTACCTTTTTCTGCAAATTTTGATGCACTTGGTCGTTTTTTTTTGCTTATTTTTATTAATTTATTAATTGGACCTATTATGAAGGAAAATATTTGATAAATTTATTTTGTTTCACATTATCAAACTTTATGAGGAATATTAAATGATTTTACTTTACCTTCTACTTCTGTTTCTTCCTCAAATTTACGTTTGACTTTTCCTACTACAACTTAGTGCAATTTGCAAGGAAGAAACAAGTTAGTTAGCATTGTAAACAATATATCAAATAAATAAATAAACGAAATGGAAAATAATTTTTTGTATATTTTTTACGCAATTTGTTCATTACCTTCTCCTTTCTTGCTAAATTCAACTAGTGCATTTTGCAAAATCTTCATCTGCTCCTTCCAGCAATTTTTATCCTCTTTCAACTCTTTTTTTTCCTTTTTTAATTCGTCCCTTTGCCTTTCCCAACCCTTCTTCTGATCTCCGTTCCTCCAATTTCTGTCCTCCAACTTATCCTCCAATTCCCATATCTTCTTCTCTTTCCACCCCTCCTCGAACTGCTCCAACTTCTTCAACGCCTTTTCATAATCCACTCTCGTCTTGTTTAATTCTTTACCAATTTCACTATTTCTTAAAAAAGATTTGTAAGATTAATTATTTTTAATTCGCAGATCATTTATCAACCAGGGGATTTTAATAGAAAACTAGAGTGACGATGTGTTGTAATCATCACCATTCTTATGATAAAAACTTACCCAACCCATGAATCTCCATTATCTTTATCATAAACATTGCTAACATCTTCTAGTGGTATCCGACTGAATAAAAATATAGTGCAAGTCACTTAGTCGCTGAACTTTTTGTGCCATGATGCCAATTTTTCAAAAAAACTAGAGTGACGACAGGTGGCGGGCAATAACCACCACCACCATCCTTAAAACACTTACCTGTCATTTCTTGTTTCTGTTTGTTTACTTCTTTTGCTATCAGTTGCTTTGTTGCGTGGCATCGTTTTAAGATAAAGAAGTTTTGTGATACGATTGACGCGTACACACTAATTATTTATCCTATTGGTTTATTTGGTAGGACAGACACGAATTGATTTTTTTTTTTTTTTTTTGGAAAAACAATTTACTTTTTGACAGAGTCCAAGGTGACAAAACGTGAGTGTTGTTGTTTGGTTTGGTTTGGGTCTCCTAAAGAAGAAGTGTTAATAACTAACCAGAGGTACTATTTTTTATTTGTATTGATATTTTTTATTTTATATAAACATTTTAATTGGAAATCAAAACGCAGAGCAGATCTTGCTGGGTAATTACAAGATTTTCATTGATAATATTTTGTTTTCGTAATCATTAATAATATTATTATAAATATTATAATTACAAGATATCAAAGCAGCACACCATTTAAAAAGAAACATTTCAAATATGTAATGTTTGATTATCGGAAAATGGCAGATGTTGAAGCACGCACGCTACCTTGAACACATTTACAGTCATTCTCTCACATTCCTCATGTACACAAGGCTAATCTGACCACGTTTCTCCCGATGATACAATGATGTTGAAATCCAGGGGGGGGACGCAAAGCTCTGGAGTTTACCATGACTGCATCAATCGTCAAGGACCTTTTCACTAATCTTCTCAGACCAGAGAAGGCTGCTGGCATGCTGGTCGAAAAGTTGCCTGCAACGATCCCACCTCTAGGATAAGGATGGCTCTGTGACCAAGCTGTTGCAGCTCTGCTGATGAATTGTAGTGCCATGTAAATATCCAGATCCATCAAAGCAACGAGAACCTGCAACTTGTTTCAAGCTCAGGAGGTCACAATTCAGAGCAGGGTTGGTGGCCCTGATATTGCATTTGGGCTCTGATGTTAAGAGGGAAGTTGTAAAATAGTGTTTGTTTTGTATAATCATTTTCATAAATGCTCTGTTTAACCAATTTATGATTTTGGGAGAGGTCTGTGCTCAATAAGTCCTCTGTCCTGTAGGTTAAAATTATCACATGATTATATACATCCTTGTCAGCAATATGGCCAACAAGAAAAAAGTCATAAAATGGTTCAGATTTTGTTTGGTATGTTTTGTATAAATTAAACATTCCCATAAATTTACTGCTTCTCTTTAATTTTTATTTGACCAACTGAACTTGTTATTTTAGTAAATGGGGTAGGGTTGTTGGTGAGTAGGCATGCCACTGACAAGACAGGGGACGCCTTTGGGATATACCAGCCAAACTCATAGAAAGGGATCTTTTGTCCAGACTTAGGGTCACATGGATGTTAAGCACAGAAAATGTACACTATCAATGTATATTTTTTTCAACAAAATAAACATTTAAATAATTAATTGTTAAATATTAATACTTTTCTTTTCATAAAAATTACAGCAACCCAGGACTCAAACTCTGAATTCGGGGCAAATCCAAAACAGCAATCCAGGTTACAACCTCCTGAGTTGCTGAATTCTCAAGCCAGTCTTAACACCAACTTTAATGCTAGTGTGGCAATAACACAAAGCAAACATCACACAAGCACCAGCTATCAGCAATCAATGCCCATATGGAAAACAGCCAAGCCTGGTCTGAGAGGGAGATAGGAGAATGTTTTGTCCAAAGCCTTCCAGCATGTTTAGGACTGTTTCACCTGTGGAGAAAAAAATCCATGGTGCTGAATTGTGCTTAGTTGCACGGTCTTGCATGTTTGTGACAGGAAAAATTCAATTAAATCTGACACCTGTGATTCAACATCAGATTTATTATTCATGAGCAACCATAATTGATAATCAGGAAAATAATTATTTTGTGGACCCCAGAGATCTGGGTAGACACGCATTATTAAAGTTTTGTTTATGCATGGCCTTGGTATCATTACTACCTGGGTGATGCATTTGTTTGTTATGTCAATGATGATATCAATGTATTGAAATGATTAAATAGCTAAGCCATGTTTGTTTTATTAAAGATATATAATTAATTATATTTAAAGTATGCAATAAAAAAATTGCATTGAATCCAAGACTGCACCACTATGTCAATCAAGCTATCAAGCTGTTATGTTTGTGCATGATTTAAAATTCTTTTGTGCTAAGTTAGGGTCCCATCTTTCTTTGCTTATATATAATCTATTGGTTCTCTTTTACTGGTCAAATGATGCCAAATTGGGTAACAGAGTATCAATAAATATCAGAATCTGATATCTGACCAATATTCTTTAAAAAAATAATTGAGGTATTGGCATACCAATAAGATAATAATATTCTTAGTATTTTTATCATTATTTATATTATTTAAATTGGTATAAATATAGAGACTTTAAGATCAATAAAGTTAACAAACAAACAAACAAACAAACAACAATTAATTTAATTTAATTTGTTTCTTAAGTAAAAATGTAATTGTCTGATTGTTAATTGATTATTAGAAGCAGTTTGACTTCTGAAATTATATTTGAGTTTCATTATTGAAATAAATAAGAATTACATTTACAAAAATCATTTTTTATTAAATTGCCATTGATGAAAACAAAATATTGAAAATATTTATTAATTGTTTGCCTTTTTAAATACTTGTTCAGTCTCTTTTTCTCTCACCAACTTGTCTTATTTTGATAAAAAATAATTATTGTCTAGATTTAAGTTGAACCAATTGACCAGATTTCTTGGAGATTTCTCTTCATAAATTATTCAATAATCAATCATATTTAAACTAATTATCAGGTATATACTTAAACTATTTTCAATTTTTATTACAAATTCACAATTTAATTCTATTCCATCCAATCTTAAAACCTTTGATTTTAAAATAATTAAAGAAACCTACAAAGTGAACATAAAATTATATATAGGGATAAGTGTATATACATGAAAAGTGATAAAAATAATGGTTCTAATGAATATCAAAAAGCAATTGATTTTTTAGAAAAAGGCTGTGGTTGTGGTTGTTCTTCCAGGATTCCTAAGGAAAATTTTGCAGAATTAAGAGAATCATTTCAAGCTCTTTCTAAAGTAGAACAAGACATATTTTTAATGGCTCAACTTAAGGTAATGGATGGTGGTTCAGTAAGCACTAGTAGACGCCTTAAAAAGAAAACCAGGTCCAATAAAAAACTTTCTATCATTGGGATCACAATACACCTCTTTGTCAAGAAACTTATCTCAATATGTTGGGAATTGGTAGGACTTATTTTGAAAATATCAGAAATCACCTGATTAATAATGGTCTTTTAGCAAGAGTTCATGGCAATATAAAGAAGATACCTCAATGAAAAACCAAAATGGTAATTGATAAGAATGTTGCAGAAGTAGTAAAGAATTTTCTTGAAAATTATGCAGAAGTCCATGGATTACCAAGCCCAGGCAGAAGTGTTAATAGAATAACTCAGTCAGTTATCTTTTTACCAGCTGAAATGAGTTATAAATCAGTGTATAGAGATTTTCTAGCTGGCCTGGAAGAAGATAACAAATTGAAATCCTTAAAATATGATGCATTTAGAAAACTATGACATCAATTAACACCAGAGATTCAAATTATGAGTCCAAGGACTGACTTGTGTGATACTTGTCAACATTTTCGAAATGGTTTACATTACAATGCTCGCCAAGAGGAAGAAGCTAA